CTCACACAGGTGGCTGGGAGCTGTTTCCCCCAGGCACTTCCACAAGTGGAGAAAGCAGCACTATGAAAGCAGTCTCATTCTGTCAAGAGCCTGCCCTTTCCCCATTGACAGAGGAGTCAAACCCTTCTTTTAAAGGCACAGGAGAAGAAAAACTTTTTATTTCTTCCTGACGCTCTGTCCTTTCAGGTAACACTACAAAATTAATGCTTTGATTATAGCCCTAGTTTCCAGTCCCAAAGTTAGAGAAGCAAATGAGGCCCACAAAAGGGCAACAGAAAACTGTTCTAACAGTGTTTCTATAAATAATGTCTATACCAGCGCATAAATCTCTGGTATTAGAAAGAAAACTACAAAGACTTCATTATGGCAACGCAGCAGTCTTCCTCCACAACTTCACCTTGAAGAGAGTAACTTCCCCCCATACTGACTATGTATTCTAGGTACTAAACCTTGTAGACCACCACACCAATCAAAAATACTTAGATATTAGAGTTGTATACGCAGGAGACCTCATCATACAGACAGAGATCTCTAGCTGAGGTGCCTATTTCAAGCTATTTCGTTTTCAGAAATCCCAGTTAAAGCATGATGTATAGCTTTTCACTGGTTTTCCCTGATGACAATCTTTCCACACTCTTAAAATAGAGTCAGAAATACCTCACACAAGAGAGCCTTTGGTGGACGTCTTATCCATGGGGATAGTGTACTCACAGCATGGGAGAACCAGATGCAGGTAGTAAGTTACATTGACAATGTTGTTTCCTCAAAAAGTAGGAAGGTGAGATTATAGCAGAGAATCTTTTCCAATTGTTTTCCCAACAAGGGCTAAACAAAGTAGGACCTGAGCAAGTAGATCCTGCACAGCTGCTAGAGATAGTTCAAGTAAACAATAACTTCAGTTCTGAAATTAACCAAGACAAAAAAAATCTCCAGATATACAACATTCTCCAGGTATGTTCAGACTTGAATTTACTAGGTGCCTGCAGCTGTAGACCCATGCACCTGCAGAACTGCCCCAACTCAAGAAACAAAGTACCTATCTCCTGCTTCTACCTCACAGGATCTAACAGGTATGCTGATCAGCCCAAGGCTTCCCAGGGACCCAATCCAGCAGGCAGAAAAGCACATTTAAATTGATTCTTCCTGTAACCAAGTTAAAATGCAATCACAGGTTCTAATTTAAAACTCTTCCAGAAGATAAGAAAAGACAGTACTATAAGAGACTTGACATTCACGTGCTTGCCTATGGAGAGTTTCCAGCTTTCCTCACACTGGAGGCTTGCACTTACTCTCCCCAGAAGTACACCGCAGTCACCACACTAGAGGAGATTCTGTGGAGAACCCTGTGACAACTCACTCCACAGAAAATGCAGGAGTGATTGGCCTAAAGATCAAATGGAGGAGAGCACAGAAAATACAGCTTAAGATCAACATACATAAGACAACAACAGTTATCTAATTTCAAGTACCAGAACACAAGTCTTTCCTACATGGATATTGTCTGTCTTCTAGGCCATGTTCTGGAAATCCAAAGGCCCATGGCAGCCTGCCTTGTTACCCAGTCTCCAAAGTTCAAACATTTGAACATCCCCTCTTCCAGCTCTCACTATAAAAGACAGACTCCAGTCAGGATGGTGATCTGTTCTGACTCCCCCTGCAAAAGTCCAGCCCCTCCTAAGTAGCCAGGGACTAACACCAAGTTTCTGATTTCATTCTAGCTTCGAGCTAATTGGATAGATGACAGTATAATTTTCCAAGCTAAGCTCAGGCTTCACAGCTAGCACTAGTTTTAATGCTTCAAGAGGTACACAATAGCTAAAAGCCCTGAAGTTGACCACTACCATGCTATTCACACACTGGAGAACAATTTGATGAAGAACTGATGTCACAAAAGTCAGTAAAAGCATCAGCTAGATCAGCACCTCAGATGAAAGCCATCAACAGCATACCCAACATCATTTTCATCATGGCTAGTCAGTCTATCACAATGAACACTGAAAACGACAGCTAGATGTGCTTAGCAAGGCAAAAGACAACTTGCTTTGCTTTTCACCTACCAGTACAGATTCTCTGAGGCTTGGTTTCTTTGATGTTCTGTCGTCTTTCAACTAACACTGAACTGTGAAGTTCTAATTATTTACAATTCAATATTTTTGGTCTCATTTATCTAAAAAATTGTTTTTATACTAAATATCTATCAGTATGTGTTACTGAGGACACATTCCATTACTGGCATGACTGGTAGCTTGTACAACAGCGTGCTCCCAAGCCATCCTATCAACGCTGCTTTACAGCTTTTCACTTTATTCCTAGTCAAGAGTCAAAATAACAGACTAATTTCTTTAAAACTCAGTTCCACCAGAATCTTGTTCAAACTATTAGCTTTTTCAGAAGTGGTAATACTTCAATACAGCAGCTTGTACAAGTTTAGTTTTAGTATCGCTTAACAAAGGCCATCCAGCTTCAAGTCTTCTGAAATCCAACTCTCCCATGGAAGGGCAAGAACCACTTATTTAGGTAGGCTTTTTCAGAGTTTGGGTTTGGTGTTGCGCCCCCATCCATCTGCCCCCCATCAGAGTTTGGACAGGTTCCACCACCTACATGATAGCTATTACAGTGTCATTACTTACTTGCCTCACTCATGCACATACACATACAGAGTTTCAAAAAAACTTCAAACTGGATCATACCAAGCTTACTTTGTTGTAACTAGTTTCAGCATTAACACCCCTAAGGAGGAACAATGCCTCAAGTACTGAGTTGCCTCCCAGTAAGACCTACAGAGCATATTTCCAGTTAACTTAACTTCGTAGTCACATTCAGATGTCAAACCAACCACTGCTTTACAATCTTAAGTTTAAAAGTCAAGGGTGTTTCAGGAGATTAACCAAAGCCAGGAATCAGCAATTGTATTTTAAATTAAGCCTTTAAAAACAGTGCTTTTTGATGGACACCAGTGACTCCAGAAATATCTTATCCATTTCAATTAACATTCCAAAAAGCCACCTGCTTTGCTCTTCCTCCCTAGTTTGCTTTGCACCTTGTGGCACTGCAGTTCCAAGCTTCACCTCTAGGCACATATTGCCACTTACTGAAGGGGAACAGAGCACCTCTAGCTCAGAGCAACACAATTCAGACACTTCTTAACAGACTAAAGAGGAAAGATATCACTGGTTTCAAGACAATGCCACACTTCTTCCCTGCTACTACAGGCTGTTCTTCCCTCTAGTTCTGATCAGCAGGGACTGACCTGAGGCCTTCCTTATGGGACAAAACATTACCTCCAGAATCACTACAGCCAGTTGGTGTTCACCTCCTTTACACCACCACCAGAAACTATTAATCAGACAGGGGAAGAACAGGTCTGGGCCACTCCTGCTCTAGCTTACAATTAGATTTCTAAAGTATTAAGTACATTCTGTCAGTCCTTTGCAATTGTTCACCCCAAAGCAAAGGGACAGAGTCTTGGCTGTTTCTGTTATCAACTACACTCGAAATAAGGACAGTTGACACCAAATGATGCTGCAGTTTCTTACCTCTGCCCATCCCACAAGCAGCAGATACAAGCAGCTGACACGAGTGCAAGTCAATACAGCAGCCTGGATATGGCAACCCTGCACCATTCAGGATTACTGCCTCCAAGGTAGAAGTAGCACATTAAGAGTCGAGGTCTTCAGTTCGTTACTGAGCATAGCAAGTCTCAGTAAAAGTCAGTATTTCAAATTTGTGAATTAGCACTAACTTCACTTTTGGGTCTTTCATGCAAGCCACTCAGTCACCCTGAAATTTTGAAGCACCACAAAGATAAAGCAAGTTACCTTTTAACAATCCAGTTAATTCACAAGAATCACAACATGAATTGAGTGCTAGGCATATTTCTAAAGTTTTCCTTATAGCACCAAGAAGTTATGTCACCAATATCTAGAAGCGGAGCGGAATTACAAATCTCGAAGCTCATTTCTCTAGGAGCTAAAACCCATATGGGATCTAACAGGCAGATCTTTACATCTCCAGCTACGCAAGCTAGAGACAAAATGCAGAACAGTTGCACCTTAAGACTTAAACAATTTTGTACTTAGAAACTTACTTTGAAGGAAACATGACTTATACTACTTTGATTCGGTCAATGAAAGCAACTATGAAACAAGCACATATTTAAGTATCTAGACTTTTCATTCTAGTTTACAATATTTGATATGCACTATTTGGAGTCACATGGTCTGGAAGACACCACCAATATCAAGTAGAAGAGCCGTAGCTCATTATATCCAGTTACACATCCCAGTAGGAAGCCACGAGAGCAGGAACAGCCATTACATTCCTTTTGACCTCTGCAGGTGAAAAGATCAAACTTTGTGCTGGATGCTAACCTAGTTGCTTCAACTCACTCCATGGAGACAATTCCTTCTTCCTTGCTACAGCAGACTTATCAGACTTCTGCCCCTTACTCAAGCAGCCTAACAATACCTTTCTCCTTGCGTTATTCCTTTTTTACAGGTTAATTGCCAGTGAAGCACTGCAGAGCCAAGTTCCTCCTACTCTTGAAAGGCTGACAACATACTTCTCTCCACTATCCTGAGTTGCATGTAGGTGGAATGAGATCTGAGATAAAATGTTGTCTCTATCTTCAGAAGCTTGGGCATGCTCCTTTTCCATCTCCTCCAGCTGTGGATGGTCGTTTTTATAAAACAAGAGAGTTTATCAAGCTGACCTATTCCACCTACTTGGTATCATCTGTAGGTGGCACAGCATATTACTTACGCCAGCTAACATTGATATTTTCTTAATTTCTATCACAGTTACCACTCCTATAACTTGAAGCAGGACAAGGGCACCTTTTAGTATAATCATTCTGAAACCTACCACTGCTCAACATTACTCTTTCTGTGCATTTTCCCCTTCACAAGCTCCGAAGCAGGCACACAGAAACCCTTGTCACTAAAGCGTTTTAGAATCCCATGACCCGCCTTTACTTATCTGCAAAAAGTTTCAACACTTACAGTTCACAGTATTTCCTGTACTATGAAAGAAAGCACTTTTTTCATCTTCCAGAACCACTGTGATCAGTAACGGCTGAAGCAATGCAGATATCAGATGTCAGTCTCCTCCCCTGAAGTTATCTACAAGCACTCCTTCATAAAGACTCCATCACCTGCACCAAAGAAGTTTTCAAATGCTACAGCACATGCTTTAATAAGACAGAAGGCACCTCAGCCCTTTATCTAAAGCTTAGAGCATGACAGGTATTACAAGTAACCTGCCATAGTTCCTTCAGTCACACTACCATCCCTTCCCAATGGACTCACCTAGGCATTTAAGTACGCCTTTATATTCACCATAAAGCCAAGCTGTACCGCTACACTCAGCACTACCTGACATGATTCACTAGACAAGCTCTTTTCTTCTAAAAGAAAGCCTTACGCACATGGTTACATGTGCTCATCACACAAGAAAAGCAGGTGAAGCACACAGACTTGAAGTCTACAAGAGTTACAAGCTCATACCAAGCCTTCCCCCCTGAGGGAAGCGTGCATAAAAAAAGGAAATAAATGTTTCCTGGACAGAGAGGTGTGAAGGAAAAAGAGGTTTCATCTGTTGATAAAGCAACATTCCCTAAAAGAACAAACAGCAAAGGGAACAACTTTAATGCGAAAACTTAAACTCTATGCTGAGCAGAGTGGGGGCCAAAGCACTACTTACCAGAGAAGAACAACATCTGCTCAGATCCCATCAAAAGAACAAGACTGTTAAGAGGAACATGGGGAAGAGGCACAATTAAAGGCCCAAAACTGCGTAAATAAAAAACCCTAACAAGTCCCACTTAGAAAAGGAATGGGAATTCCGGCCCTATGCACAAGGACAGTTGAATGCAACCGACGCCACGGCCAAAGCAGGAGAAGCCGAGCACGGGACCACGGCTGCCAGCGGCGTGAGGCGATCCCTCAGCTCAGCTGTGCGGGCAACAGCGAGACAGCCACCCCCACGGGGCGGGCAGGGAGGCGGCCGGCACCAGGTGAGGCCCACGAGCGCCGCAACCCGGGGCGCCCACCTTCCCCCGCCCTCGGCAGCCCGGCCCCCCCCGCCGCGGGGCCAGGCTAACGCCTCAACCCACCGCCTCCTCCCGCCCAACAGCGCGGAGCGGGAAGCAGCCGGGCCCCCGCCGCTGCCCCTCACCCCGCAGGCCGAGGGGGCGTGCCGGGCCGCGGTCCTCCCGCTGACAGCCCGGCCGCCCTCCTCCAGGCCCCGGCCCGGCAGGCCGGCCCACCCCCCCACCGCAAGCCGCCAGGCGAGGCCAGGCCGCGGCCGCCCAGCTCCTTACCGCGGGGCAGGGCATGGCGCGGAGCCCCCCCCCCTCCACACCCCCCGTCCCGGGGCGCGGCCTCCTGCCTGGGCCGGGGTCGCCTCCTCCGCCGCCTCTCACTGCCACAACAACATGGCGGCCGCACGGGACGCGGGCACGGCGGGGCCAGGCGCGCGCCCGACACCGCCTCTTCCTCCTCTCCCCCCCCCCCCCGCGCGGGGCGGGGCGCGCGCCGTTCCCGCCTCCCTGAGGGGGCTCCGGCTGGCGCTGAGGGGAGGTCGCGGCGCTTCCTCAGCCCCGCCGCCATCCCCAGCGCCCGGCAGGCACAGCCGAGCCTTTCCCCCCCCCTTCCTCCTTTTATAACCCCGTGGGGGGGTGCTTAACCGTCCGCAGCTGCGCCTCGGCCGCCCAGAGCCCTGCTGAGTGAGGCAGGAGGCGCGGTGCTGCCGGCGTTATCCCGGCCGACCCTGCGAGGCAGGTAAGGGGTGGGAGCACGCTGGGGCCGAGTGCTGAGGGGAGCGAAGTTGCTCTGCGAGCCGGCGGCTGCCCACGCCCCGCAGTGAGACCTGCAGTCCTGGGAATCCTCCTCAGGAGTCCTCCAAAGTCTCTTGGAGAAACACCCTGCCTGACTATAAAATCCGCTCTTGTGCACAAGGTCTTCTGGCTGAGGCTTTCCTCCTTTGCTTCTCTGACATTCAGCTCAGCTGTAAGAACATGTGTGGCCCCACGCCATCGGTAGAGGCACCGTCCAAGCCACCCTGAGAAGCCCACAGCTCCTAGAGCGTGAGGTAATGGAGAGCGGGGAGCCAACGCCAGGCATGAGAGCCAAAAAATACATGGAATTGGAGAGACAAGTGATAAAAGGGATATGAGTGTTAAGCAACAGAAAGGCACAGGAACGCATGAGAGGCAAATGGCAGCAGTGTCAGAGGCAGCAGGGTACAGTTGGCAGGAAGTGTTGCAGTTTCCAAAATGAAGCTGTAACTGAGCCTTGTGCAATGGAGTTCCTTCTCAGCAGCAAGATTTATATCTGGGTTTTGCTGCAACCGTGGTGGATCATTAATGCTTTATTTTTATACATATCTTTAATTTACAATACTGTATGTAGGTCAAGTTGTACTTTTGAGAGATATTTCCACCTGCGCCCCGTGTTCGCCTTGATCTGAAATGAAATGCTTGCTTGCAAGTAGCTATAAAATGCACTCCTAAATTATCCACAGGACTCTCCCTCTGAGTCCAAGGCTAGTCATTGTAACAGATGGACTTCAGTCTGTCATTAAGTCATGTTTAAGCTAGAAGTAGTATTCATCTTCAGAGAGAACAATACAAAATATAAGATCCCATGTCTTTAAACTCAGATATCTAAGCCATGCAGCAAGTTGTTTTCTAGCTTTGCTCCCTTGGTCAGGGACAGTAAACATTTGAAAGGAAGTTAATCAGCCCCTCTAAAGAGATTTTTCCAACAACAAGCCATCATCTGAATGCAAATGTGATCTGAAAGTCAATATGTACCTTCAGAGAAACTTTGGAAGAAATACAGGTAACTGAAGGGAAAAACAGGATTCCTGGCCTGTTTATACCCAAAAGCAATGGAAAAATGTTTAGCTGGTATAGCTGTATCTGAAAAGGATGTGTGTTGACAGCATTAGGATGCAGAATATGAATTTTGAAAAGTCCCCGTTAAACGGTTGCCTTTTGCAATATGCCTGGACGGAGATCAAATGTGACCTCCTTCAAGAAGCCAAATCCTGGAGACCCGGGGGCTCTGGCACAGCAGAACCTGCTAGTTGGTCCTTTTAGTTTTTAAAGAGAAGGGGAACTAGCTGGAGCGCCATCACTGTGCGCTTCCAGTTCCTTATATCAGTGACACAAATTGTCTTCTTTGGCAGTATCTTTAGTGATACTGTTAAGCACACTGTATGGAGGCTTTTCACATCTGGTGTTCCAAGTCTTTCCATTTCTTGTGTTCCAGTCTGGTTTTTAATATATGTTAGGTATGGCCCCCTGTTAAGTGACTTTTGCCTCTAGGATGAGCAGGGCAAAGGATTATAGCTCATGAGAATTATTTTATGGGAATGGAAATTACAGTACCCAAAGGGGGAGCAAGGCCTGGGAGAGCCTGACATGCAGCACAGGGAATGAGGTGTTCCCAAGCCCACGGTTCCAACAGACTTGGAGAGCATTCTCACTCATCTGGTACAAAGTTTTTAATTTGTCAGGTTGAGGGTGGATATTAATTACCGAGGAACTACTGAAGCACTAGCCATTTTTAAGCAGGAGGAAGAAAAGCAGTCCAGTCATTTAGACACCTGTTAGTCTGACCTCAAGAGCATTAAAAGCTTAGAAAAAAATGGAAAGGAAAAAGTAAGTGGAAAATAAAGTAAAAATGTGACATAGCTTTACTAAAGATAGATTGCATTTAACTAGGGTTATACCTTTGATAATTATTTTCTATACAATGGGTATATAACAGATTTAATCTAACTGGATTTAATAAGATATTAAAAACAATGCCACATGGCAAATGTATGGTTCATCTGGGGAGCTCTTTGGTAGGTAAGAAGCTAGCTACTGCAGAGGGGTGATAATAGTTTGGGTGGAAAAGCTAGGTTGTGAGGGTGGAGCTGAACTCCTGAAGAAATGACTTGGAGACTATCAGCAGGTTCAAAAATGTATTCAATAAATTAGTGGAGAGCAGGTCCATAAAAAAATAGCTATGTGAGAAAGGTAGGGAAGTCACCTCAAACTTACACCACCTGTGGATGCGCAGGGAGTGCAAAGGCAGGAGGGAGCAGGAGGTGGCTGGGCTCCGATGCTCACCCCGAACAGCATCGCTGGCTGCCCCTCTCCGGAGAGTGAGTGCTGGACCACGGGAACCACAGGCTGACCCAGGGAGGCATGTCTTGTGTTCTTTTGATCTTGCACAATATTTTGCAGACAGATGTTGGAACAAGAGGTAGGAGTGAGCTGATGGCGTTTGCTGATGGCACAAAGTTGGGAGGCACCAGCAGTGCAGAGGGAATAGCTGTATTGGTGGAAGAGTTGGATAGCATTGAGCACTGGCACATTGGAAATGGGATGAAATTTAATAGTGGAAAGTACAAGGTCATGCACTTGGGAATTACTAAGAAGAATCTCTGCTGCAAGCTGGGAGCTCATCGGTTGGAAATGACAGAAGAAGAGAAAAATCTGGGTGTATTTGTTGGTTTCAAGATGACTGTAAAGTCCCAATATGAAGCAGCTCTGAGGAAAAGCACATATCAACTGAGATTTCCAGGAGAAGGGGAAAATGCTAGTACCATTTACAAATGGTATCCAAAGCTCTGCTGCAACCTCCTCTGGAATTACACATGCAGCTTTGGTCACTTTTAATGAAGGGAGACAAAATGTGACTGGAGAATAATTACGGGGCAGTCCTGATTTTTAATTATTTAGGGATCTCAAAAGAATTTATTTAGCCAAAAAAATGAATGCTGAGAAGGGATACAGTTGTTCTTTATGAAACTTCAGGGAGTAAACACATCTCCCTTAAGAGCAAGGGTGATGTTAGTGTAAGAGAAAACAAGTATCCGATGGCCATGAAAAGTCTGGGCTGAAACATGAGAACACCAGACCTTCCAATAGCTCGAGTCCTGAGGCTCTGGGTCATTCTTCCCAGAGCTGCCTTACCCTGATGCTGTTGCTACCAACAGCTGAGAACTTACCCTAAAGACCCAACAAGTTCTTTCCAAACCTCTCTTACCATTTGAGACGCAGGCACTGAGTTACTAGTTGGCTTCTTATGAAAAAAAAAGAGGTACCTGATGTGGAAAGATACTCTTTGGTCTGCAGTCACAGCCTGAATGTCATTTGAGTTATTGTCTGTAATCAGTAAAGATGCATTTAAAATCTGTGTGTGGTTGTGGTGGAGGCTGGCAGCATCCAGCATCCTGTTCTGCATCATCCCACTCCGGTCCCTCAGGTCATCTTCCCACAGAGGCCAGCTCTTGTGCCCACTCCATGTGTGAGATGACATCCTTGAGCGATCTGCACCTGGCACAGTGAGAAACAGCAAAAACAAGCGTGTGTTGGGTACCTTCCTGCCCCTGTTACTGTCCAGTAACCTTTAATACGCTTCATTTGTGTGATCCAAACAGCCAAACTCAGACTTTGTGGGCTGTTTCTGTTATGATGAAAAACTGATGGTAAGGTCTGATATGTCTTTAAAAAAACCAAACAACACACCACGTCTTGATTCTGTAAGAACAGTCAAGTCATGAAACGATGAAACGCAGGGTAGTTTCCTTTTTCAGGACTCTACACTGGCTCCTTTGGCCAGTTTTCTACCCCAAAGTAGATCTTTTCATCCTTTCTCTCCCATTTTGTTTTTTCATCTTTTACCTTACTTTGATGTTTTATTCATTTTACTCTCCTGTTTTTTTATGAACACTTGAACAGAATGCTGTGCTTAGACCCATCTCTGACCACTGTATTTATTCTGTATTTCTTGTTGGGAGGTGCTTCCATTGTTTCTGCTCCCATCAAACAAGCAGTTATTTCATTGTGCATTTAGTCCAAACAGCAGGCGGTGCGGATATCAGGGGCAGCACAGTGTGAAGCCACCTCTGATTAAAATGTGCCAGGTGAGAGGCACCCACTCTGTCAGTCATCCTGATGGGTCCCCAAAAAACAGATGCTCTGACTCATTCCCTTGAAAAGTAGATGAATAATTTGAAAATAATGAGTTTTTTATTATGCACATATCATTTTTGTCAGAACATTTCCCCACAGTCTCATTTTAGGATTTTTTGTCTTGTAATAACCCTGTTTTAAAATAAGATGTACTATTAGTGACACTTTGCTGAAGGGAAGCTAGCACAATGAAGCTGTCTTGGCTATGGCTACACATCAAAATGATTATTACAGGACTAACTGAATACAAAGGTCTGGAGGACTCTGAGAATTTCAAATCTAGTGAAACAGCTACAACATTTTTGAGAAAATACTGGAAACAGCTTTGGGGGCAGCGTTTTGAGGCAGGAACTCAGCCACCTGAGCCTGGCTCTGCAAGGGTGCGTGAGCTGGTTGGCACGTGAGACCCCAGCTCCATCCCCCAGATCAGCCAGAGATGTGCTATGCCTGACTGCAAAAGGCCAGACAGCACTTCATTCCAG